AGACTCTGACTGGGATTACAGGCATGCGCCACCACGCCTGGCTAATTTTTTGTACTTTGAGTAGAGATGGTGTTTCACCATGTTGGCCAGGTTGGTCTTGAACTCCTGACCTCAGGTGATCCACCTGCCTCAGCCTCCCAGAGTGCTGGGATTACAGGCGTGAGCCACCGTGCCCAGCCATAAGTAGTCACTCTTTCCTTTAAAAAAAAAAAAAAAAGGTGGAACAATCTAAACATCCATCAGTAAAGAAGTACAAAATTATGGTTTGGGCCGGGTGTGGTGGCTCCAACCTGTCATCCCAGCACTTTGGGAAGCCAAAGCAGGAGGAATTCGTGAGGCCAGGAGTTTGAGACCAGCCTGGGCAACGTAAGGAGACCCTGTCTCTATGATAATAATAATGAAAATCAAGGTTTGGCAATACCACAGAAAACTGAGGCCATAGGAGAGAATGAATTTGCCTGTAGACTCAGGAGGAACTAAGCCTCGGTCTGTGACACAGTCTGCAGCTTTCCCACGCTCCTGTTCACACGGGGAAGGAAGCAGAGGATGGGGCTCTGTGCCTGCAGGTGTGGAAACAGGGAACGGGGCGGTGGGGGTGGCCAGAAGACCCACATCACACAGCAGGGGGGCGCCTGGCAAGGGGAACCCCGCTCCATATGTCATCGGAAGCTTTGTGCTTTGTAGTGAGGATGTGGGCGCCTTACTCACGTTGCGATGACTGTGCGGGAGGCCTGGGGACCCAGAGCTGTTGCTGGAGCTGGTGTTTGCTGCAGCCCTTTCTTATGAAGCCTTTAGGACCTGTGAGAGTTTGGAAATATTCCCACGGAGGGGCTGAAGCACTTTGCCTGGGGCCGATTAGCCAGTCGGCAGTGTCCCCAGGCTCCTAAGGAGCTGTCTTCTGAAGCTGCCTGTCGTGTTGAAAAACGAAAGTAATTTAGTCTGAGGTGAGGTGGAAGCTCAGTCAGTGAGGTGTGGGCTGCACCTGAGGGCGTCCCGTAGAGGGAAAGAAGGGCAGCTCGCAGGCGCCCCATGATTTCCTGTGTGACTGATTTCTCTACAGAAATCACAAAGACGCGTCCAGCGGGGACCACCTCACCTGCAGATTAGACCCCCCAGCCAAGACCTGAAGGATGGGACGCAGGAGGAGGCCATGAAAAGGGAAGAAGTCCCTGTGGGCCCCCGCCCGGAAGGAGACCCACAGCGGACGGTCATCAGGTACAGAGCGCAGGGCCAGCTGCACACTGCAGCTCAGGCCTTTATATTCCAAAAAACAAGGTCGCGAAAACACGTTGTGTCTGAGATCTATTTTCGTTTGAAACTGACAATGTATGCTCTATAATCTGTCTTCATCAACCTTAGATTACAGAATCGAATTTTTAAAACTGGAGGTCAGAGCTAAATTAGGTCCCCAATAATGTCCTCATGGTATGCAATAATGTCTCAGAACATTTCGTGTGGTGTGAAGGGTGCACGGGTGGGTGGGGATGGGGAGCCAGGCTCAGAGGTGGACACTGGCTGCCTGGGCCACCTCCTTTCCCGAGCCCCATCTGGTCGAGCAGAGAGCAGAGGGAGAGGGAGTTGCCCAGTGCCCAGGCTCCCAGGGTGCTGTCCTCTGCCTGGTTGGTCAGGTCCAGGTTGTGGATCCCGGTGAAGCTTCATTCGGTGCTGGGGCATCTCAGCCTCGTTTCCGGCTCCATGTTATGCTCTTAGAAACAGAGTTGATGTAATTGAGGCGGAAGGCAGGGCGCCCCGCAGGCATCCTCTCTCCCCCACAAAGTGTGGGCCAGACCTGAGCTCTGCTTTGTGGACAGAGCCAGGGCCAGTGAGGGCTGCTGTGCAGGAGTGGCCTGAGACAAGCGCTGTCAGCCATGAGAGATGGGCTCTGAAGAAACGGGCCCAGAGGCCCTGAACTCAGGTGCGTGGTGAGAGGCGTGGATGTGTGCATGTGAGTGGTCCTCACTGCCAAGAGGAGAATTTGAGGCCGCTGCACTCTAGTTAGCGTTGGCATGAATGCAAGGAGGCTTTACTTCCAGAGCAAAAGAGCATTTGACCTCAGCCTATCAAAAGTGCCACATTCGTACTCCCAGCATGTAAGCCTTCTGTGGATGTAAGAGGCCTTTCGCTGAGCCTGGGACAGATTCACCACAGGGCCCCAAGAGAACGCTCAGGCCCAGCCACAGCTAGGAGGTCGTAGCTGTTCCTGATGGCCATTGGACGGAACTCTGGATGGGGAGTTTGAGTGGCCATGCCTCTCGTGTGTAGGGACAGCCCCCGTCTGTGTGGCCATCCTGGTATCCTGGGGCCACCTCACGGTCATTAGTGCCCCTGTCTGGATGACAGATTCTCTGGACCTCCACCGTAGAGGCCCCCTGCGTCCGGCCTCTGCAGAGGTATTTCTCATGATTCTCCAAGCTCTGGTCTCTGACCTCAGGCCAGCCTTGACCTTGGGGCGGTGCTGTGGTCTTGACTCTCAGGCACGGGAGCTCAGGACTGAACTGTGTGTTTCCTGCCACTCAGCAGCCTGCACCGCAGGAAGATGGGGCCGTGACGGGTGCAGGGCCCTGCCTTGGCTGTGGGTATGGAGCGTGGGGATGGGAAACACGGAGCCACACGTGTTTGACGGCAGCTGACGCCCTTCCTTCTCCCCCGAAGCTGGAGGGGAGCGGTGATCGAGCCTGAGCGGGGCACCGAGCTCCCTTCAAGAAAAGCAGAAGTGCCCACCAAGCCTCCCCTGCCACCGGCCAGGACACAGGGCACCCCAGGTGAGGCCACGCCTGCACCCCTTCCTCCCCGGGCGCTCGGGGGCTGGTGGCTGATGGGTGCAGGCTTCGTCTCAGCCGTGGTGGGTGGCCCCCCAGCCCTGGTGTGCACCTTGCCCTTCGGCATCCCCCTGTTGTCTGAGTCCTCACTGGCTCTGCAACCTTGGTGACATCATGTGGCTCTTGGCCTGCTGTCCCTGAGCATGTGGCTGCAGAAGAAGGTGTGTGTAGGAGATTTGTGTCTGGGCCAGGCTGCCCCACGGGATCCCTGGAGACTGCTGCCCGTGCTGCATCCCCGGTCTCGGCCTGGCCAGTCCCAGGCCGCTCTGCAGGCCGCTTCATTCTGAGCACCATTTGTTGGGGGCCTCCCAGGTGCGGGCCTTCAGCCAAGCTCAGTGCACGCCGGCCTCTCTCAGCCTCATAACTGTCGGGTCCAGCCCCACAGGGTTGGTGGCTTTTTCTCCCCGTGTGCGGAGACGAGGGATTGTAGGAATACAGACACAAGACAGAGATAAAAGAAAAGAGAGCTGGGCCCGGGGGACTACTACCACCAAGACGCAGAGACTGGTGGTGGCCCCGAATGCCAGGCTGCGCTGATATTTATTGGATACAAGGCAAAAGGGGCAGGGCAAGGCGTGTGAGTCATCTCCGATGATTGACAAGGTCACGAGAGTCATGTGTCCACCGGACAGGGGGCCCTTCCCTGTTTGGCAGCCGAGGCAGAGAGACAGAGAGAGAGGACACAGCCTACGCCATTATTTCTTCGTATCAGAGGTTTTTAGTACTTTCACTAATTTGCTGCTGCTATCTAGAAGGCAGAGCCAGGTGTACAGGATGGAACACGAAGGCAGACCAGGAGCGTGACCACTGAAGCACAGCATCTCAGGGAGACAGTTAGGCCTCCGGATAACTGCAGGCGGGCCTGACTGTCAAGCCCTCCACAAGAGGTGGAGGAGTAGAGTCTTCTCTGAACTTCCCCGGGAAACGGGGACTCCCTTTCCCGGTCCGCTAAGTAGTGGGTACTTTTCCTTGGCACTGACGCTACCGCTAGACCACGGTCCACTGGTAGCGGGCGTCTTCCCAGATGCTGGCGTTACTGCTAGACCAAGGAGCCCTCTGGTGGCCCTGCCCCGGCATAAAGAAGGCTCACACTCCTGTCTTCTGGTCACTTCTCACTATGTCCCCTCGGCTCCTATGTCTGTATGACCTGGCTTTTCCTAGGTTATAGTTGTAGAGCGAGGATTATTCTAATATTGGAGTAAAGAGTAATTGCTAGAAACTAATGATTAATGATATTCATATATAATCGTATCTATGATCTATATCTAGTAGAACTGTTCTTACTTTATATATTTTGTTAGACCAGAACAGCTCGTGCCCTCGGTCTCTTGCCTTGGCACCTGGGTGGCTTGCTGCCCGCACATGACTCCCTCTGACACGGTAAACCGGTCACCCTCCCGTTCTCCAAACGGAAAACCAGGGCTGAGGCCGCCACCGCCAGAGTCGTTTGCTTGTCTGTGGGACTCAGGGCAGATTGCTGAGTCTGGAACCCTGCTCTCATCATGCCCCCAGGTGTCTCCAAGGTGGGGAGGGAACCCAGAGCCGGGACTCCTAGCCCCAGGCCTGTGAGGGGTGTGTAGCAATCTCTGCGGCATTAATGAGTGCAGAGGCAGAGCCAAGCCATGAGCGCGAGGAGGCCTCAGAACCTTTCCTGAGAGGACGTGTGGTATGATGCCGTTACACACGTGTCAATCCACACATTAGTCAATGTTGGCTGGGCGTGGTGGCTCACGCTTGTAATCCCAGCACTTTGGGAGGCTGAGGTAGGAGGATCGCTTGAGTCCAGGAATTCAAGACCAACCTGGACAACATAGTGAGGCCCCATCTCTACAAAAAAAAGGTATATATATATATTTGACACAGAGTCTTGCTCTGTCACCTCACTGCAACCTCCACCTCCCAGGTTCAAGTAATTCTCGTGCCTCAGCCTCCCGAGTAGCTGGGATTACAGGCACGCGCCACCACGTCCAGCTAATTTTTGTATTTTTAGTAGAGACGGGTTTCGCCATATTGGCCAGACTGGTCTCAAACTCCTGACCTCAGGTGATCCGCCCACCTCGGCCTCCCAGAGTACCGGGATTACAGGCATGAGCCACCACGCTCGACCAAAAAAATACCATTAAAAAAAAAGAATGACCAAGGCGACTGTAATGCGTCTGCAGTGTGAGTCCTGTGGAGCACCTGAGGCCCATACAGGAGAATGAGTGTGTGTGAGTCGAGGGTGTTCGTGTCAAGGTCTGCACCCATCAGCGTTTCACATTCTGAGTTGGCACCACACTCACCCGCTGCTCCACAGGCTCCACTCTGCTGTCCCGGCGCCCTTAGGGCAGCCAGTCTTGTCCCTTTGGCCGGAGGCCACGGAGGCCCAAGGAGGGCGTGCCTGCCCAGGCACCAGGCGGAGGTGCGCGGGCCCCAGGCTGGTGGTCGGGTGCCAGGTGCCATCCTGTGCAGCCTCCGGAGGCCTCAGGCCCTTGGCAGACTGTGTTCTCCCTGGGGACTGCTGCAGCCTCTGTGGCCCCGCCCTTTGCTGTGCCCACCACTGCTCTTCTCGTCATCCCAAACTCACCGTCATCTTTGCCTGATGGGGGTCACAGCAGCGCTCTGCCTGAGGGTGTCCATCTGTGCCGACGCCGGGACCACGCCCGCCATGGCCTGTGCTCTCTCTCTCTCCTACTAGCGCATCCAAACTATCGCCAGAAGGGCGTGATTGACGTCTTCCTGCACGCGTGGAAAGGATACCGCAAGTTTGCGTGGGGCCACGACGAGCTGAAGCCTGTGTCCAGGTCCTTCAGCGAGTGGTTTGGCCTTGGTCTCACGCTGATCGACGCACTGGACACCATGTGGATCTTGGGTCTGAGGAAAGGTACCTGGTGCTTTCTGGGGAGGGGCTGAGCCCTCCGTGTGGGCCTCGTGTGCTGAGGCAGAGTGGGGGTTGCACGTGGAGTGAACGCTGTGGTTTGCATCTGACCATGGGTTTTCCCTTCCCCTGGGTGCAGGAGTGGACGTGCTGACTACAGTCAGTTCCTGTTCTTCTCCAGCCACCCAGGGCACACACAGGGCAGCTGTCCCCGGACCTCTGCAGGAGTTGAGCGTGGCCTCTTTGGGGGACGTACAAGGGGCATTTCCAGGCTGTGCTGCTCTTGGAGCTGGGGGTGGTGGGGATGAGTGACTGTGGGCCCCGTTGGGTCCAGATCTCAGCAGCATCCTTCATAGACCAGCACATCCATTTTGAATTGGGAGTATGTGTCTTCAGTTATTTAAGCGATATTTAAACATTTATCTAATTTTTTGAATAGGTTGAAGACCACCAGTAAATTACTTGTGTGGTTTTTTTGTATCATGGCCTTTGATTGTGACCCATTTGTGGTCACAGTGACTGCACTGCTGACTCTGTTTTATTCACAAATATTGGAGACTTCAGGATTTACCCGCTTGAGACGGGAGGTGATGCTGAAGCCCTGCAGCAGGGGAGCGATGATGCCCCAGAACGTGGGCTTCTTTTTTATTTTTTTGTTTTTGCTTTTGTTTTTGAGATGGAGTTTCACACTGTTACCTGGGCTGGAGTGCAATGACGCAATCTCGGCTCATTGCAACGTTCGCCTCCTGGTTTCAAACGTGAGGTTTTTGGAGACAGAGTCTTGTGACGTGGCCCAGGCTGGAGTGCAATGGCACGATCTCAGTTCACTGCAGTCTTTGCCTCCCAGGTTCAAGCGATTCTCATGCCTCACCCTCCCCAGTAGTTGGAACCACAGGCACACACCACCACACTCAGCTAATTTTTGTATTTTTAGTAGAGATGGGGTTTTGCCATGTTGCCCAGGCTAGTCTTGAACTCCTGGGCTCAAACTATCCACTTGCCTGAGCCTCCCAAAGTGCTGGGATTACAGGCGTGAGCCACCATGCCCAGCCAAATGCATTTTGAAGATTGAAGATGGAGAGATCATAGGAAAACGTTGGACCCATCCATTTGTCTCTGCATCCTTTACTGTTTCATGTTACAGAATTTGAGGAAGCCAGGAAGTGGGTGTCGAAGAAGTTACACTTTGAAAAGGACGTGGACGTCAACCTGTTTGAGAGCACGATCCGCATCCTGGGGGGGCTGCTGAGTGCCTACCACCTGTCTGGGGACAGCCTCTTCCTGAGGAAAGCTGTAAGTGTCTCGGGGTGTCCTGCAAGGAGACAGTGGACTCACATGCAAGGAGTTCCCCCTTTAGCGGACTTGTGGGGATGTGACTGTTTTCCTATTTCCTCTTCAAACGCACTGGAGTCTGTTTCTGAGCCCATATTTGTGAGCTGATGCAGCCACTTTGATCACCACTGATCTTGTAGAGACATTCACTCAGTGCAGTGATGCCCGTTTCCTTTGCTGCTGTGTTGGCCCCAGAGAGCTTCAGCGTCTCCACTAGGGCCAAGGGGGCGAGAGTCATGACGTGTAGACGAAGCCTCTGGGTGACCTGAAACGTTGGTTCTCTGCTCTGCTCGTATACCAGGAGGATTTTGGAAATCGGCTAATGCCTGCCTTCAGAACACCATCCAAGATTCCTTACTCAGATGTGAACATCGGCACTGGAGTCGCGCACCCGCCACGGTGGACCTCCGACAGCACGGTGGCCGAGGTGACCAGCATTCAGCTGGAGTTCCGGGAGCTCTCCCGCCTCACAGGGGCTAAGAAGTTTCAGGTAAGGGGGCGGGCTTTCCGGCTGGACGTGGCTCCCCTGGAGCCACCTTTTGCTCATCACAGCAGGTGCGGTGTATGTGTACGTATATATGTTTTCAGGTTTTTTATTATGATAAACACAGAAAACGCACCACCTTAACCATTTCCAGGCGTGCAGGTCGGTGGCGTTACACATGTTCACGCTGTTGCAGGCGTGCAGGTCGGTGGCGTTACACACGTTCACGCTGTTGCAGGCGTGCAGGTCGGTGGCGTTACACACATTCATGCTGTTTTGCAGCCAGTCACCTTCATCTCCAGAACCCTTTTCATCTTAAAACTGAAGCTCTCCTTCTCCATCACACAGTGACCCTCATGTCCCTCCCCCAGTCCCTGGAAAACACTATTCAGCTTTTATCCCTGGACCTCACCCTGTGGTGTGGAGTTCCTCGTGTGAGTAGAATCACATCACGATTTGTCCTTTTTTTTTTTTTTCTTTTTTTGAGATGGAGTTTCATTCTGTCACCCAGGCTGGAGTGCAATGGCGCAATCTCAGCTCACTGCAAACCGGCCGCGCTCCCAGGTTCAAACGATTCTCTTGTCTCAGCCTCCCCAAGTAGCTGGATTATAGGTGTGTGCCCTCACACCCAGCTATTTTTGTGTTTTTATAGAGATAGGATTTCACCATGTTCCAGGGCTGGTCTCGAAACTCCTGACCTCTATGATCCACCTGCCTCAGCTCCCACAGTGCTAGGGTGACAGGCATGAGCTACTGCACCGTGCTGATTTGTCCTTTATTTGGCTCCTTTCACTCAGCTCAGCGTCTTTAGCTTCATACGCGAAGCACGCTTCAGAAATTCCGTTTAAGGCTGAATATCGCCTGCGTGGCCACGCCACTTTTGTTGACTCCTCCCTCTGCCAGGGCTATGCATTTTGGCTGTTGGAAGCGGGCGCGTGCACACACCTCCTGAGGCTCTGCTTTGGTTCTTTTGAGTAGTAGAAATGGAATATGCTGATCACGTGGTAATTCACTGTTTAATTATTGAGGCCCCACCTCAATAATTTCACAGTGGCGAAACCCGTCACATCTACCACCAGCAGTGCCCAGGGCTCAGCTCAAGACACGCCCCGTTGCTAGCACCTCGCTGCTTTCACTGTTTTTGTGGGCAGTGGCCATCCCCCGTGGCCACTCACATAGTGGTTTTGAGTGCATTTTTCCCAAGTGACAACGGCGCTGGGATTAGTTCATTACTTAAATTGGCCGTGTGATGCATCTTTCTTGGAGAATGGGCCTGTCAAGTCGTTTTGCCTTTTTTTTTTTTTTTTTTTTGAGACGGAGCCTTGCTATATCACCCAGTCTGGAGTGCCGTGGCACGATCTCGGTTCACTGCAACCTCCACCTCCCAGGTTCGAGTGATTCTCTCGCCTTAGCCCCCGAGTAACTGGGACTACACCCGCCACCACACCTGGCTGTTGTTTTGTACTTTTAGTAGAGATGGGGTTTCGCCATGTTGGCCAGGATGGTCTGGAACTGACCTCTGACCTCAGGTGATCCACCCATTGGCCTCCCAAAGTGCTGGGATTACAGCTGTGAGCCACTGCGCCCGGCCTCTTTTTTTTTTTTTTTTTTAAACTCAACGTAATTCATAGGTTCACTGCCTGGTGTGTTTTTTTGTTTTGTTTTTTGTTTTTTTGTTTTGAGACAGAGTCTATCTCTGTTGCCTGGGCTGGAGTGCAGTGGCATGATCTCGGCTTACTGCAGCCCTTTCCTCCTGGGTTCAAGTGATTTTCCTGCCTCAGCCTCCCAAGTAGCTGGGATTATAGGCGCATGCCACCACGTCCAGCTAATTTTTGTATTTTTAGTAGGGATGGGGTTTCACTATATTGGCCAGTTTGGTCTCGAACTCCTGACCTCAGTGATCCACCCACCTCACCCTCCCAAAGTGCTGGAATTACAGGCGTGAGCCTCCGCACCTGGCCCACTGCCTGTTTTTTTAATTAGGTAGTTTGTCTTGTTGAATTGTAGGAGTTCTTCGTTCTGTATAGTCACTCCATATCAGAAGTGGGATTTGCAAATATTTTCTTTCATCTGTTGGTTTTGTTTTTACTTTGCTTTTTTGTTTTCTGTTTTTGAGAGACAAGGTCTCACTCAGTTGCCCAGGCTGGAGTGCAGTAGCCTCCTGAGTAGCTGGGACTACAGGAGCTCGCAGCTACACCAGGCTAGTTAAAATTTTGTTTAGAAAACCCCTGTCTCTCTTTTGTAGAGACAGCATTTTGCCATGTGGCCCAGGCTGGTCTCAAACTCCTGGGTTCACACAGTCTTATCACTCTGGCCTCCCAAAGTGGTGGGATTACAGGTGTGAGCCACTGTCCCCGGTCTCTTTTTACTTTGTTAATAGTGTATTTTGATAGATAACAGATGATCATTTTCATGAAGCACAGCTGGTCTATTTATTGTTGCTCATGCATTTGGCCTTACGTTCGAATCCCTGTTCTTATTCATGAGCTGAACACATCCCTCTTTAGAGCAACTGTGACCACTTGTAGGGAGAAGTGCAGCCCACACCATCCACGTGAGGCTCCCATGCAGACGTTTAGAAGGCGTTTCCACTGCAGCCCAGAAAATGACCCCAGGCGTCCACGGGCACCCCCACGCCACCAGGCGCCCACGGGCACCCCCACGCCACCAGGCGCCCACAGGCACCCCCACGCCACCAGGGCCTGTGGTTGCTGTAGGTACACAGGGATAAGCAGCCAGGCCGTGAAGGCGCTTGGCATGGGTTTGGGGTGTTTGCATTGGGTAGAGACCTGGAGAGCCCTTGCTGGGCATGCCCTGACCTCCCAGTACCGTGTGCCCCACTGTGGGCCAGGACGCCTGGTGCTGCCGGCTGGGCGTGAGCCCTGAGGAGCTGAGGGTGGCTGTGACTTGGAGGACGAGTGGGAGCTCACCAGGAGGGCGTGGAGCCGGGTGTTTCATATCAGGAGCAACACGGGGCTCAGAAGGCAGGCACACTTGCCGTCCCTCCAGAGCCGTGGCTGATGGCCAGGTCTGGCAGGCTCTGGGTCTGGCAGGCTCTTGTGAGGACAGTGTCTGTGGTTGTCAGATGCTGTCCCTTCGAGTAAGGGATGAGAGCCATCCTGAAGACGGGTCAGCTCTGTGGTGACCGCCCGTCGGGAGCAGTGACATTCAGGTGCGTTGCACTGGTGGCTGTGTGGCTGTGTGGTGTGGCCACCAGGAGCCATGTGGGCAAGGACAGCTGTGGGCCGGGCACAGAGCTCTCTCTGCTGGGGGGGACAGTCGGTGCTGGGGCAAGGGGAGGCATAGCTCACAGAGCCCCTCTACAGCTCACCCCAGGCAGTAAACCCACTGTCCCCCTTTCTGCCGCAGGAGGCCGTGGAGAAGGTGACGCAGCACATCCACGGCCTGTCTGGGAAGAAGGATGGGCTAGTGCCCATGTTCATCAACACCCACAGCGGCCTCTTCACCCACCTGGGCGTGTTCACACTGGGCGCCAGGGCCGACAGCTACTATGAGTACCTGCTAAAGCAGTGGATCCAGGGCGGGAAGCAGGAGACACAGTGAGGCCCGGCCTGCTGCCCCCAGCTCCCGCGGCCCCCCAGCTCCCGCAGCCCCCCAGCTCCCGCGGCCCCCAGTTCCCACGGCCCTCCAGTTCCCGCAGTCCCCCAGCTCCTGCGGTCCCCAGCTGCGGCCCTCCAGTTCCCGCGGTCCCCCAGCTCCTGCGGTCCCCCAGCTCCCGCTGCCCCCGCTCCTGCTGCCCCTCGCCCCACTGTGGGTCAGAAAACCGCAGCCGTGCCAGGCCTGGCCCAGGCATTTCTGTGGGGAGCATATTCATTCACTTCTCACCGTGGCCTCGGCGGGGGTGAGGGGGGCATCGTCACTGAGGGCCATGGGGTGTGCAAGGTGGCACCTTCTGTCCAGCAAGGGCCAGGCCTGCTGTGCTTGTGTGGGCCCAGCATGTGCCTGTCCCTGGCGCCACCCAGGACCCGTGCACCATCCTGGTAGAGTGAGGTGACTGCTGGTGTCCACAGGTTGCTGGAAGACTACGTGGAAGCCATTGAGGGGGTCCGGACACACCTGCTGCGGCACTCTGAGCCCAGTAAGCTCACCTTCGTGGGGGAACTTGCCCACGGCCGCTTCAGTGCCAAGATGGTGAGTGTGTCCGTGGGGCCTTCCGGCCGCCGCCCCTTTTACCTTGGCTTCCAAGGTGCCTGAGTCGGGATGTCAAAAAGAACAACGAAATCCTGGCCATGGCGCCCATGTGGAGGCCCTAGGTAGACCATGGCTGCCTGGCCAGGCCTGTCTTGGCAACAGGGCAACGAGGCCTTGTGTGGCACCCGGGGTGGGCAGGGCTTCCCCAGAGTAGCTCCCTCCCCCAGCCATCCCCGTGCCCGGTGTGTAGCAGGTCCTTGGGTGGTGTGTGGGGGCCAGGTTGGAGGGCCTGGCCCAGGCGGCTCCACTGTTCATGTCAAGTGCCCTCGCATGGCCTCCCCTCCCAGGGTACCGGGTCCGAGGCAGTGCTGGGCCCTCACGTTGGCTGCCTGTGCAGCTGCAGGCTGAGGGCCGGGCCTGGGATCTGGGGCTGAAGAAACCCTCTGATTCCAGGACCACCTGGTGTGCTTCCTGCCAGGGACGCTGGCTCTGGGCGTCTACCACGGCCTGCCCGCCAGCCACATGGAGCTGGCCCGGGAGCTCATGGAGACTTGTTATCAGATGAACCGGCAGATGGAGACGGGGCTGAGTCCTGAGATCGTGCACTTCAACCTTTATCCCCAGCCGGGCCGTCGGGACGTGGAGGTCAAGGTGGGCCTGGGCCTGGGTCGGGGTCCGTCAGGAGGAGGGTGCTAGCAGGGCTGGCCTCGCCCTGAGCTCTGCTCTGCCCACAGCCGGCAGACAGGCACAACCTGCTGCGGCCAGAGACCGTGGAGAGCCTGTTCTACCTGTACCGCGTCACAGGGGACCGCAAGTACCAGGACTGGGGCTGGGAGATTCTGCAGAGCTTCAGCCGGTTCACGCGGGTGAGTGTCTGTCCTCGCCCCCTGTGGTCATGGCCACCGGGCCACAGACACAGCTGGGCTGTGGGGCTCGGGCTGGCCCTGCCCTTGGTGGTGGCTGTCACCGGGGTCCAGGACGGGTGGGCTTGCTGCAGCCTCAGGGTGGCCACACTGCAGCCTGGGGGCCCCGGCATCCCCATTCCCACTGAGCTTCATGGTGTGCGGGACCCGGGTACTCAGAGGGGCCGGGCACCCCTCAGTCATCTCTCAGGACCTATCTGGGGAGGATCCCTGCTGTGGGCCCAGCATCCCCCCAATTTAGGAGGCACCCATGACTGGAGCGCCATCCCCACTGTGGGCCAGGCCCCGTTTCAGGTCATGCCCTCCACGTTGGAGCCAGATGAGGCCTGAGTCACCTCCTGGCTCTGCTGTCACCTTGGTCGGAGGCCCCTGCTGCCTCAGCTCCCACCGTCTGCCCTGTGTCCTGTGAGGCAGCTGTGAGGCCCTGAGCACAGGTTCTGGGGGAGGCGGTGTCTGTCGCGGTCACTTGAGGGTTGTTGGCGTCTCCAGGTGGGCTCTGGTGGAACCACAGCTCGCCCGGGGGTGGCCACCGTCGAGGCACCCTCCACCCCGAGCCTGCGCTGGGGGCCGCGTTCACCGTGAGGTGGAGGGTGCTTCGGTGATGAGGCTGAGGGGGTTGCGGGTTGCCCCCGTCTGGTGACGAGGCCCTGGCTATGGCGCAGGTCCCCTCGGGCGGCTATTCTTCCATCAACAACGTCCAGGACCCTCAGAAGCCCGAGCCCAGGGACAAGATGGAGAGCTTCTTCCTGGGGGAGACTCTCAAGTATCTGTTCTTGCTCTTCTCTGACGACCCAACCCTGCTCAGCCTGGACGCCTACGTGTTCAACACCGAAGCCCACCCGCTGCCCATCTGGACCCCTGCCTAGAGGGGGCGGCTGCTGGCGCGGGGACTTCGGGTGGGCGGAGGCGCCTGGCTGGGTCTGTGGCATTTTCCAAAGGCCCACGTGCTGCCGGCAGCCACTGAGTGGCCCGGGCTCTGAGCTGGCTCTGGGCTCCCCTCGTCTCTCTTTCATCAGGACACCGTGAGGCTGAGTGAGAGCCGCAGTCTTTGTGTGGGGCGGGGTGGGCCGGGCCCCTGCAGCCTCTGCCTGCCTCCTCCAGAAAACACGAATCATGACTCACGATCACTGAAGCCTGAGCAGGTCTCTGTGGGCCGACCACAGTGGGCTTCGAGGTGGTCCCTGGTACTGTGGTGACCGAGTGGACAGCCCAGGGTGCAGCTCTGCCCAGGCTCGTGAAGCCTCAGATGTCCCCAACCCAAGGGTCTGCAGGGGCTGCTGTGACCCCACAGGCCCGAGGCTCCAGGGCTGGCTCTGGTGTTTACAAGCTGGACTCAGGGATCCTCCTGGCCGCCCCACAGCGGGCTTGGAGGGCTGGACGGCAAGCCCATCTGGCTCACAGGCCCCTCCAGTGGAATGGGTCTTTTCGGTGGAGATAAAAGTTGATTTGCTCTAACCGTGTGTCTGCTGTGTCTACAGGGGTCTCCGTGACTGGAAAGTCTGGGTGGATGTTGGGGAGAAGCTCTTCTTCGGGTCATGTCTCAGAATTCAGTTTGCTGAGACTGGACTCCAGCTGTCCCCTGCTGGGGGGCAGAGAGAGGCCCTGGGGAAGCTCCGTGTCCCTGGGGAAGCTCTGTGTCCCTGTCCCCGTGGGGCAGATGCCTGGAGGGAGGCGTCCTTGCTCCTGCATCTCACACGGCCTGCTTTCCTGCAGGGCTGGCACGGAGGCGCACAGCTAAGGGATAACGTGGGCCCTCGGGTCAGGCAGCTCCCAGTGGCCTGGCATGACTGTGGCCCCGAGCCCTGGGCTGTGGTGGCAGAGTCGTCCTCATCATCACTCTATTGCTGTCCCTATCCCAGGGCTGACCCTGGGCCTTGGCTGAGTACCCCCGACCATGAACCAGGTGACCTCTTAGGGCCGTACCCCTCCACTCTCTCCTGTGAAAAATCCATCACCTTCACTTCCGGAAGACTTCCCCTCCCTGGGAAGCCAGAGCTGGTGACAGCACAGGGCAGGGCTACCTGGACCCAGCCCAGGATTGCCGGCCTTGTGCCCCCCTGTAGAGGTCCGGGCCCGGAGTGTGGGCCTCGGCTCTGTCCCCACAACTCCCAACATCCCACAGCAGACACCTGTGTCCTCCTGGGGACAGTGGGCGTCCTGGGGCTTCCTCTCCTGCCTCACGCTGGGCCCTGACCCCGCACTCCTTCCTCTGTGTCTGGAAAGGTGAGAACAGCAGCTGTGATGCGGCCCTGTTGCCTGCCCCTTGTCATGGTGAGACCAGCGCTGCCCTCCTGGACCGGGTGCCCCATGGCCGGCTGAATGTGCAGGACTAGGGCAGCGGATGGGGCCTGAACAGCCGGAAAAGCTGCACCTTCTCCATCTCACCTGGACCTCTGAGACTAATGTGCTGGGGGCGTGGCCCCAGAGGGGAGGGGACAGCAGCTGCCTGCCCCTTGGGGGCCAAAAGCACTGTCCAGTGGCCTCCCCTGGAGGGGTCGCTGTGTGCAGAGGACGTCAGGGAAGGAGTCACCTTGGAGGTGTGGCTGCCGCCTCCGTCTGCCGCGGCTCAGCCGAGTGAGGCTTCCTTGGGGGGCAGTGCCCACCCTGGCCTGTGCGGGGTGCGCCGCGTCCCCTGCCCTGTCTCTGAGGGTCCCACTCCCCAGCCCGCATGTGGGCCTCACAGAGCGGAAGGGGACATACGTGGCCAGGCCTCCAGGCATTTATTCAGCTCCTTCCCTGTGCCGCCAGCTGCTTCTTGAGTGAAGCCCACACGCTGGGCCGGCCACGGTGGGCTGAGCTTCGGGGACCCAGAAGGTGCAAACACAGGGCAGGGCTGGGGCAGCCTCCTCCTCCCTCCATTCACTCCATGAGGAGCCTGGAGACCCTTCCAGTCCTGTGCTCAGAGGCTGAGTCCAGACGCCCCACGCAGAGCTGGCTGCTGCTCACGCCTGGCTGCCTTTACCCACTCGCCGATGACGGTGGCCTCCAGCTTTCGTGCCTCAACCACAGAAACAGGATCTTCGGGGTGGGAGGCTCTGGGGAGTGGGCACGGAGGGGGCCCATCAGCCCCAGCCCTCGGTGGGCCTGTCCCGCCCAACCCGCGACCACCGTCGGGCCACCTCCCTCCACACCTGAGGTCGAGGTGGTGTGCGCCCCCCTGGATGGTGATGGCGATGACTGATGCGCTCAGGTTCCTCCGAATCTGTGCTCAGCGGAAAGAATTCCATCAGGTGAAGGAATAAGGCCACTGCCCAGCCTCCGTGGACCCATTGGAAAGGAGACATGAGAGGGCGGAGCCGAGAATCAGTGTCCGTCAAGCAACCATAGAGAGAACCAGCCAGAGAGGGAGGCGGGAAGTGACGAGATGGGTAAGACAGGAATGGGGTAGGGGCCGGGCGAGGGGCCTGTGATCCCAGCACTCTGGGAGGCTGAGCAGGGAGATCGCTTGAGCCCAAGAGTTCCAGAACAGCCTGGGCAATGACGGCTGAGAACTGTGGTTCTCTACAAAAAAGACGTGTTTTTTTGTTTTTGGTTTTTTTGACAAGACGGAGTCTCGCTCTGTCTGTCACGGCTGGAGTGCAGTGGCCGGATTTAGCTACTGCACGTAGCTCCGCCATCCCGGCGTTCACGGCCATTTCTCCACCTGCCTCAGCCTCACCGAGTAGCTGCGGACTACAGGCGCCCGCCACCTGCCCAGTTACGTTTTTTTTTTTTCTTTGTATTTCTTTAGTGAGACCAGGGTTTCACCAGGTAGCCAGGATGGTCTCGATCCCTCCTGACCTCCGTGATCCACCCGTCCTCGGCCTCCCAAAGTGCTGGGATTACAGGCTTGAGCCACCGAGCCCGGCCAAAAAACGTTTTTTTAAATTAGCTGGGCGTGGTGGTGAGCGCCTGTAGCCTCGGTTACTGGGAGGCTTGAGCCTCAGAGGTTGAGGCTGCAGTGAGCCCTGATCTCGCCACTGCACGCCAGCCTGGGCGAGAGCAAGACCCTGTGTCAAAAAAAAAACCAAACAATCTAACGGGGTCACAGGGCCCAGGCCAGGACTCACCCCGCCCCCTGCCCAGGGGTCCAGGTTCCCGTTGGAGAAGATGATGTTGCTGGCGGCTCTGAGATCTGCAAGGGGCAGAGAAAGTGGTGACGTGGCCCCTTGTGGGGGCTGTGAGCCGTGGGCAGGGGGTGCAGAGCTCAGGGCAGAAAGCAGGACGCTGCCCCGCCCCCGCCCCAGCCTTACCGCCCCCCCAGAAGCTGGTCAGCAGCCAGTCGGGCCGGGGCCACACGCCCCAGGTGTCCAGGCAGTACTGCTGGCGGCGCTCATCCGTGAAGGGCAGGTCGGGGAACATATCGGTCACATTGTTGCTGGCGAAGGTCAGGTTGATCTCGGTGCAGGCCTGCAGGTGCCCCAGCCTGAGTCAGGCCAGCCCACGCCTGCCCGTGCCCCAAGTGGTTCCAGGCCATCCACAACCCCACACCTGGTAGTCCCAGGCCCTGGCATCGGGGCCAGTGCCGCAGCCAGTGGGGTCAGCACAGCTGCGGTAGAGCCGGTAGATGTCGTAGCAGTGCTCGGAGCCCGAGGCGTTGTAGACCAGCCCTGAGGAGGAGAGGCGCTGGGGCCCAGCAGCCACACACAGACACACCGCGGGCTCCGGCCACCAACCTGTCCCCCCTCGGAAGGTCCTGCAGGGGGTCTGGGGCTCTGGGATCTGTGTCCCAGTGAGGAAGGCCCTCCAGACTACCTGTTTGGAGGTCAGTGGGGTCTGTGCTGCCAGCCCTGGGCCTGACTGTTGAGGGCCCTCCCACTCCCCACGGGGCAGGGTGGGGCCTGCTGCCCTCTGTTGCCCTCCATGCCTGGGGACTCCAGGGTCCCCTTGATCAGCACCCACCAAGCTGGACCTGGCTACAGCCAGTGCTGGGAGAGTCCCCAAGGATGGCCACTGCCTCCCCCAGGGCTTCTGGGAAGGTCGTGCTGTCCAGCCCACCACAGCCCTGGGGCAGGTGGCAGAGCCCCTGGCTGGGCTACAGATCCTCACCCCACCCAGCCCCAGGACCCAAGCCAAGCCTGGGGTCTCCACACTTGCCCATCTGGGGCCGGGGTAAGGGCACCTGTCAGCGCTCGCAGCCCCATGATCCTCTGGGTCTCACTCAGCAGCCGGTCACAGCCCACCTGGGGTGCAGGGGCAGCAGCGACTCAGCGGGGTCCCCTCCACCAGCTCCACCTCCCTGGCTCCCAGGATGAGGGTCAGGCTGCTGGCCACCAGCCTCGGGACGCTCCAGCCGGCCTCTCCCTGTGCCCCGGGAGGAGGCACCTCACCTTGACCGGGTTGGCGGGGAGGGGACCCAGGAAGTCGGTGGGGTAGGGGTAGTCCATCATGGCCAGCACGGTGAAGGCATTCCGGGCGAACATGAAGAGCTGGGTCAGGTCCTTCTCGTCTGACAGCGGCTGGCAGGTACCAAACTCCCAGCGGACCCTGTCGTAGGCTGCATGGAAGGCACGGAGACTCAAGCCTTGGACATAGCAGGCGCTGGGGCGGGTCGGGCAGTCGGGGGCGGTGGGGGGGCCTCACCTCCCTGTAGGAACAAGTCCTTGATCTGTCCGAACGCTTCCCGCACACCCTGGGTGCACTTGGGACTCTGGCCCTCAAAGTCCTGGGGGAAAGAGACCGTGCTTACTGCAGCCGCTGTCCCTTAGGGGGCCTGGAGGACCCCAAGCCTCACTCACCGCCGTGACGTCCCGGAAGAACTGGTTGGAGTCGCCGAGGCCTGCCACAGCTAGAACGGGCGCGCTGGCTGCCAGTGCCCCCGCCACCAGGTGCGGGTACTTCATCCTCAGGTAGGCGCTGAGCATCCCCCCATAACTGAGCGAGGGACACAAGGTTAGGGCTGCTGCCCCCAACACCCCGTTACAATCTCTTTCCCTCCTCAGGGGCCCACAGGTCCCACAAGGAGGACTCTTCTGAGACCCACAAATTCTGACCCTGGGCCTGGTGCGGGTGCAGCCCTTACTGGGAAAGGCCGCTGGTGTGGCCAGCACATCCCAGCTGAGCAGGTGGCTGGGAGGACAGGCTGGGAGGGCTTCCTGGAGGAGGCAACACTAAGCCTGGAACCCCTGCCTGAGGCCTTAGGAAAAGGCAGTGCTGGGAGTCAAGACGGGAGAGGCCGGGCCAGCGCACAGCCATCTCTGCAAACAGTGGGGAGAAGGGCTGGGGTCGCTGGGTCGGGGCAGGGGAGGGAGGGGGTGCGGAAACCGGGGGAGGCGCCCACCTTCCACCGAAGGCGATGGCGGGGGCGTCCTGGGCCCCGAGGTCGCGCCGTAGCGCGCGGAGCAGCTCTGCAAAGTCGGCCAGGGCCTGCTCCACCGTCAGCAGCTCCGTGTGCCCGCGCTGCGTGGACCGCTCACCGAATGGCAGCGACTTCCCGTAGTAGCGCTGGGGGGAACTTGCCATGGAGCCCGGCCTGCGACCCCGCCCGGCACCCGCGTGCTCCGCGACCCCCGCCCGCGACCCTGCCTGGCACCCACGTGCTCCGCGACCACCGCCCGCGACCCCGCCCGGCACCCACGTGCTCCGCGACCCCCGCCCGCGACCCCGCCCGGCACCCACGTGCTCCGCGACCACCGCCCGCGACCCCGCCCGGCACCCACGTGTCCGCGACCCCCGCCTGCGACCCCGCCCGGCACCTACGTGCTCCGCGAAGACCAGTAGAGCCCCCTGCTCGGCCGCCAGCTCCGCGATGAAGCCCGAGTTGTTGGCGAAGGCCCACACGTCGCCCTCGTTCCCGGTGTAGAAGAAGATGGGCCCCTCGCCCCGGATCCAGAACCTGTCTGTGGGGAGGGCGGGTGAGGCGGGGGTGCTGGGGGGCGGCGGGGGCGGGTGAGGCGGGGGTGCTGGGGGGCGGCCGGGGCCGGGGCCGGGGTCTCACCTGACACCAGGAAGCGCTGGGGGAAGGTCTGGTTGCCGAAGCGCTCGAAGTTGAAGTGGTCCAGACGCTGCTGGAAGAAGCGCTCCTGGAAGCCGGGGTCCGGGGCGCTGCGGGCTGTGGGGGGGCGCGGACCTCAGAGGCGGGGCCGGGGACGGGGATGGGGACGGGAAATGGGCTGGGGGCGCCGCCACACTCACCCCCCGTCTGGAGGCCGCGCAGCCCGAGCGCCAGCAGGAGGACCGGGGCCCAAGCAGCGGAGCCCATGTTGCCTTCCGCGGGCACCCGTCACGTGGGCGGGGTCACGGGGCCGCCGGGGCGCGCTCCTCCCTCCAGGCCCCACGTGTTCCCGGCGCCCGTTGTTCCCATGGAGACCGTCGCCGTGGGGCGCCTGTGCAGTCGCTGCTTCAGCGTCGCGCCGGGGACTGTGCGCCCCAACACCCCGCGCCTCATGGCCGCTGCCCAGGGGTCCCTCCCGGGCACGGCGCGGGGACGCCGAGGGCCCCTGGGGGTCCAGGTCCCTGGGCCACCTCCACGGCCTCCCGCCCCACTGACTCGTCCTCCAACCGCGGCCCCATCCGGAGCTGCGCTAGGGCGAGTCCCTGCTGTGCCGGCCAAGCCTTCCCAGCACTTGCTCCTGGCAGGTATCCCACTCTAAGGCAGGGCCAGGAAAGCGGGGACCGTTCTGCTGCCCCTAAGGGCGGGAGGGAAAGGGTCCTAAACAGAGTGATGGCGCCCGAAGAAAGCGACCCAGGGTTTGTCCAAGCTACAGCAGGGGCTGGGCAGGTGGGGGGCGGGGCCTCGCAGGCGGCAGGAGTGTGGGGTGCCCCTGGAGGGTCTGGGCAGGACCGGGATGTGGCCGTGTAGCTCCCAAGAGCTGGGATCGCCACCTGCCCTTCCGACTGGCACCCAGTTTGCCCACACAGCCTTGCAGGGACAAGGGGGGACCAGAGACCTCTGCTGGGAGCTGGGGCCTCCTCCCTGGGGAGCACCCAGAGGATGGAAGAAGTCACGTTTCCCCAGCATCCAGTCCAGGGCGTGGGTGAGGGGGCCATAGTGGTGAGTGCCAGACCAGCCACGTGGAGTCCTGCTGGGGATGCACATGGGCCACTAGCCAGGCCCAGAACAGGTGCAGAAGCAGCAGGGACTCAGCTACAGACAGAAAGAGAGTTACTCTGTCCCTCTCCCAAGACTGCCCTTGGCCAGCATGACCCTGCCATGCCCATCCTGTATGTGGCTGAGTGGGGAAGACTGGCCACTTCCACAGCCCCTTGCATCACGGCCCCACCTGCCTCACGCAGAGGCACTCCCATGGTGGGTGACTGGTGGCTGGGGCCCTCAGCATGGTAGCAGTGACCATCACGTCACACTGCAACATGAGGTCATCCAGGGCCACACACCATCCCCACCATGGCTCTCACATCTGGGCCCTGTCCCATCCCTATACAGTTCCCTGGCCGCCTGCCGGGACCCCCACAGGACGGGGTGAGAAACAGCAGCAGCCCTCCTTGGATGTGGAGGTGCCCCATGGCGTCCCCCACCCCACACCTCTGCTCCTCTGGCTCCGTCGGGCGCCTTAAGTGGTCAGAGCTCCACCAGCAACCCTCACCCAGGATCGCAGCTCTGGAGACGCCAGCTAGGCCGAGAGCGGCCAGCCAGCTCCCCAAGCACACCAGGGCCTGGAGATGCCGCAGGCTTGGCTGGGCCCACAGAGGGGCCAGAGCCTCAGGGAGGGTTCCAGGGGCAGGGTTTCCAAGGAAGCCACTTCCCCTCTTGTCCATGGCCCAGGCCTTGATGCCCCTTCTGGGCAGCAGCCAGGGCCTCCCAAGCCAGGAAGAGTGGGCATGGGGCTAGCCAGCATGGCTCTGCCGTGGGTGAGGGTGGCCACAGCCCCCTGCCCACATCCCTGTGCTCACAGAAACATGTGCTGTATGGAATCGAGGTTTAAGGGATCTAGGCCTGTGCTGTTAATCTGTAACCTTAGCCCCATCCCTGTGCTTACAGAAACGTGCTGTATTGTCTCAAGGTTTAAGGGATTTAGGGCTGTGCAGGATGTGCTTTGTTAAAAATGTGTTTGCAGGCAGTATGCTTGGTAAAAGTCATCGCCATTCTCCATTTTCAATTAACCAGGGACACAATGCACTGCAGAAAGCCGCAGGGACCTCTGCCCAAGAAAGCCTGGGCATTGTCCAGGTTTCCCCCACTGAGACAGCCTGAGATACGGCCTCATGGGAAGGGAAGACCTGACCATCCCCCAGCCGGACACCAGTAAAGGGTCTGTGATTAGGAGGATGAGTAAAAGAGGAAGGCCTCTCAGTTGAGATAAGAGGAAGGCCTCTGTCTCCTGCATGCCCCTGGGAACGGAATGTCTCGGTGTAAAACCCGATCCTACATTCATTCTATTCTGAGACAGAAGAAAACTGCCCTGTGGCTGGAGGCGAGATATGCTGGCGGCAATGCTGCTCTGTTACTCGTTGCTACACTGAGATGTTTGGGTGGAGAGAAGCATAAATCTGGCCTACGTGCGCATCCAGGCACAGTACCTTCCCTTGAACTTATTTGTGACACAGATTTCTTTGCTCACATGTTTTCTGGCTGACCTTCTCCCCACTATCACCATGTTCTCCTGCCACATTCCTCTTGCTGAGATAGTGAAAACAGTAATTAACAATTACTGGGAGGGAACTCAGAGACCAGTGCTGGTGCAGGTCCTCTGTATGCTGAGTGCCAGTCTCCTGGGCCCACTGTTGTTCCTCTATACTTTGTCTCTGTGTCTTATTTCTTTTCTCAGTCTCTTGTCCCACCTGACGAGAAATACCCACAGGTGTAGAGGGGCTGCCCGCCCCTTCACTGGCACAGCAACCTGACATGTTAAGGGGTACAGCTTCTGCAGGAGGCCCTCAAGGTCCGTTATTACCAGGGCCCTCGTCAGCCTGTGCAGGATACAGTAGGTCACCCAAGGGGCAAGTGGGCCTAGGCTGGCCATGCCTCTGCAGACACCCCCAGCCTCTCTCTGCCCATCCCCGGAGCGGGACAGACGGGCAGGTTGGCTACTGAGCCACCAGCTGAGGGGGTGAGAGGTCCCTGGGCAGGGAATCCTGGGAGCCAGGCCAGCAAGGGTGAGGGGCTGCTGAGCCCAAACCCTCCTCTCAAGGTCCATCTGCTCTCTCTCGACCATCTAGGCAGCTCCTCCACACCCCGATTCCTGCTGGGACACCCAGTCCCACCCTCTACGGCTCACAGACTGGGGCCATGCCCAGCCAGACATCACGTCTGGGCTGCCCCTCAGACTGAAAGGCTGCCAGCTGGCAGGTGGCTCCGGTGTGTGTGGCCGTGACCTACCGCATCTGCACTTAGAGCCGTGCTGGTCTGCGTGCTGAATTATACGTAATACAAAACTGACCACTTAACCACTTTCATGTGTTAAGTTTGGGGGAATTAGGTACATTCATGCATTCACAATACTGTGCACCGTCACCACTATTTTCCAGACGACCTCATCACCCCCAGTAGCAACCGTAGCCATTAAACCATGGACCCCAGTCCCTGGCACCCACCGTTCTACCATTTGTCTCTGTGGCTCTGCTGACTCCCAGTACGTCATATCAGTGGAATCCTACAGTATTTTGTCCTCTGTTGCCCAGGCTGGAGTGCAGTGACAGGATCTCGGCTCACTGCAACCTCTGCCTCCCGGGTTCAGGTGATTCTCCTGTCTCAGCTTCTGCAGTAGCTGGGATTACAGGAGCCCACCACCACGCCCGGCTAAATTTAGTATTTTTAGTAGAGACGGGTTTTCATCATGTTGGCCAGGCTGGTCTTGAACTCCTGACCTCAGGTGATCCGCCCACCTTAACCTCCCAAAGTGCTGGGATTACAGGCGTGAGCTACCGCGCCCAGCCTGTTTTAGCCATTGTGAATACTGATGCGATGAACATGGGTGTGCAAATATCTGCTTTTGTTTTTTCAGACAGTCTCTGTCGCCCAGGCTGGAGTGCAATGGTGCGATCTCAACTCACTGCAAGCTCTACCTCCCAGGTTCAAGCAATTCTCCTGCCTCAGCCTCCCAAGTGGTTAGGATTACAGGCGCACATTCACATGCCTGGCTAATTTTTGTATTTTTAGTAGAGATGGGCTTCACCGTGTTAGCCAGGATGGTCTCCATCTCCTGACCTCATGATCCGCCTGCTCGGCCTCCCAAAGTGCTGGGATTACAGGTGTGACCTGCTGCACCCAGCCTGTGGTTTTGATTTGCGTCTCCCTAAGGATTAGTGATGCTGAACATTTTTTTATCTTTTTAGTAGAGATGGGCTATCACCGTGTAGCCAGGATGTCTCCATCTCCTGACCTCATGATCCGCCCTGCTCGGCTCCCAAAGTGCTGGGGATTACAGGTGTGACCTGCTGCACCCAGCCTGTGGTTTTGATTTGCGTCTCCCTAAGGATTAGTGATGCTGAACATTTTTTTCTGTGTTGACTGGCCATTTGTTGTCTTCTTTGGAAAATGCCTATCAATCCTTCACCCATTTTGATTGGGTTGTTTTTTGTTGAGTTTTACGATTTTTAAAAAATCATCTGGATCGGCGCGCAGCGGCTCACACCTGTAAATCCCAGCACTTTGGGAGGCTGAGGTGGGCGGATCCCAGGTCAGGAGATCGAGACTATCCTGGCCACATGGTGAAACCCTGTCTCTACTAAATAATACAAAAAAAAAAAAAAAAATAGCCGGCGTAGTGGCGGGCATCTGTAGTCCCAGCTACTACGAGGCTGAGGCAGGAGGAATGGCGTGAGCCCAGAGGCGGAGCTTGCAGTGAGCGAGATCACACCACGCACTCCAGCCTGGGCAAGAGAGGACTCCATCTCAAAAAAAAAAAAAAAAAAAAAAAAATCATTGGACTCAGCGGGCACAGGGGCTCATGCCTGTAATCCCAGCACTTTGGGAGGCCGAAGCGGGCAATCACAAGGTCTAAGAGATAGGAGACCATCCTGGCCAACATGGTAAAACCTTGTCTCTACTAAAGATACACAAATTAGCTGGGCATGGTGGCAGTGCCTGTAATCTCAAGTATTCAGGAGGCTGAGGCAGGGGAATTGCTTGAACCTAAGAAGCAGAGGTTTCGC